TCAGAGACTCCATCTACCTAGGTTTTGTTTCTCCCACTCTCCCAAGCCTAGCCCATATTCTGTTCCATAATCAGCCTCCTAAAAGTTACCCTGCCTTCAATCCTTCACAGGCTGCCTCCAGGGAGACCCTCTCTAACTCATTAACTGATCTTTACCACCTTTATTCCACAATGGGAGGTCAATTCAGGAAATCTAAAATGGGCCCTTCCCATTCCTATTACTAAATTCTCTACCCATTAGGTGATTTTTAATAGGGTGATAATCTTTAGAAACTAGAAGAAGCAGAACCAGGAATACTTTAAAAGCATACAAAAGGTCCTGTACAATGGTAAGTTTTTATATTATGAAGGAAATTATTTGATCAGTGACATTTAATAAAGAGTTGCATCTGAATAATTTTTACTTCCAAATCTATTTCTCAGCAAGTTCTTTTTAGTTATTTCACATAGGCATATTTTATCTTTAATAAGTCTAAATCATGTTGAGGTTCTAATATTTTGCATCTCCACAGGGAGGTTAGCAAACATTTGTCAAACTGACTGAGTCAAATTTTTTCTCTCATACTTATTATTAAGAAAAATTAGAAACATTTTAAAGTCAAGATTCATATATAGCTAGAGTTTTTAGCATCACTTTCATTCCACAATATTTTAGCAATATTTTTTGGGACATTCACGTGGAAGTTTTGGAAAAAAATGTTAAATTTTATTGACACTTATTAAAGCAAATCTGTTAAACAAACCTACCATGAATTAAAAAATATAGTAAGTGAATAAGTTTTATATTAGTTTACTAGAACACTATGCCTCAATTTAAAATATAAGAGAATAAATTTATAGTAGTCTAATAAATACACATTTATTAAATGGTGGTTGCCCTCAGAATGCAAGGACTGTGCATCATTTGAAAACATAATTTATTGACATCACTGAGGAAAAATGCTGCTTTACCATCTTGATAGATGAACAAAGTTATTTCAAAAGCAAACTTTAGAAGGCAAAATCATTCTTAAATGTAATGGATTAAAACCAATTCTGAACACATCATCTATAAACCAAATGTGACTCATACAGTAGTGGAAATAAATTACACATGAACCCTCATGAGCTATTCTGTACAGAAATATTCATGACAAAGAGAGTAGTCACCCAGTATAACAAATATAATACACAGCCTTTATTTTGAAAACACACTTTAAAAAACACCCAGAAGAGTATACTTAGAAGAATTTGTAATTATTAGAACGACTGAACTACTATAAATGAGAACTAAAAGAGAAATAGGGACCCTTGAAACAGGGGTCCTGCCATTTATGACATCCACTATTTATTCATATTTTCAGAAAACACACAGATAATTGAGCAGTGAAGTCAAGATTTAATCCCACCTCACTGACTCAAATCCATGTTCATTATATCAATACCTGCTTCATATCTTCTCAATAAAATTGATTATGGCAAGAGCCCAAAAAGAGTATTAGTAATCACTAATGAGAGAATCTAGAATTATGACTATTCACTTAGTAATATTGGCTAAAGCTGCCAAAAAGTATTTTAGTAAGAAGATGTTGGAAACTTAAAAATACTTAAAAATATATACTTCATTATAATTTATATATGTTTCAGTGTATGCTAGATGATATTCTTAAATATGTCTCCTTTTGTGTTTTTTCTTTATGTGATCAATTCCACTGTAGAATTCATTATTTGAATTCTAAAGTGGAATTATGGCAGAAATGACAAAAAAGTCAATATTGAGTCTCTAACTCTTAAAACATACTCTTCATTCATCATCCATTCAACAATAATTCAATTTACGTTACTTATTTAATTCTAGTTTTATGTCCTAAATATCACAATGAACAGTAGAACTTGAAGTATACAGGTATGTGTGTTTGTGTATAAACAAACCCAAGTTTTGTTGAGAGATAAGTGTTTCTGACATTCCACTTGCACAACTCTAGATGATTTGAAACCCCAGAGTTTTATATTTAATACCTGATGTAAAAAGTAAGGACAATTCTATCAGTTAAGTCAAAGAAAACACCTTTTACTACAAAGAAAGAAGCAGAAAAGAGCAAACTAGTCAGACTAGAGTATCCTGGGATCTTAGGGTGAGGGTAGAATGATAAAAATACCCAAGTAGGTTTGGGAGGGAAATATCAGGGCATAGAGTGTTTGCTTCAATGTAAAGAGAGTCCTGCTTCTTGTTAGCAGTGAAAGAAAAAATGCAAACCCTTAAGAAAGCTCTGTTCAGTATGGCACTCTCCAGCAAGACCTAAGAGTTCCTCCAGCAGATGACTGAGAATGGGAGAAGGATGTGGAAGTAATTTTCCTAAACCCTACACACTGCTGACTGGGACAGAGGACACAGTGGAACATATCTAGCTACCTGACTGTCAAAGCATACTTTCCAGAAGAATCAGGGGACTAAGACAAGCATTGAGGCTGAACCAAGTTAAAAAGGAAAATAAAAACCTTAAAACTAGAAACTATGACTACAAGTCAGTACTGGAATAATTCCCAAGATTGCCAAGTTAGATGAATTACAACTTCACAAACCTGGAATTCCCTCACTCCCTTTCACTGGGCTTCTGTTGCACCTAAAATCTATCTTGAGAAGAGAGACTAAGAATAGATACCTCTGAAAGATGAGATAAAAAGTACAAGCGGGAGCGAGACTTTGAATTGACTGAATAAACACCCCAAGAGAGATTGAACCAAGCCCAGAGGGAGAAAGAGAAAAGAATGAGTTATCTCAAATAAGGACCTTTACCATCCCCCATCATTATGGCAAAAACAAACAAAAAACAACACACACACACACACACAGGGAACATGCTACAGAAAATAAAAAGTTATGTTTTATATGACATTTAAATTGCAGCATATAAAATTCCAGCCTGGCTATATTCTTAAGTAATATAATAAGTGCTATTAATTATTTTCAATAAGTCTGGCTACTATGCATTTCAGAATTCAAAACAAGTAGAATCTTTGCAAAGTTCCTAGAGTAGGTGGCTTCCATGGACCATAACAGGTCACACCCAGAAAAGAGAAGAAACAGGTAAACAGCATCCTTTAGAATATGGTCTCCAGCCACGTATGTGCTACACATTATGCCAAGAATAGCTGAGGCTCTGGGAAGAGAAACCTGGTCACTACAGAGGACCAAGGTTCTCACAATGTGGGACTGAAAACCAAAGGCAGAAAAATTTTGTGATAATATAAGAGAAAAAGGTTAATTATTCTCACCTTTCATCAACTCATTTTGCTTAAATTTTTTTCTAACTTAGTAAATGACATAAATGTCTAGGATTCACCACTCTTGATTCCCCTCCCTCCCTCCCTCCCCTCTCTCTCTCTCTCTCTCTCTCTCTCTCTCTCTCTTTCTTTTAATCTCTACAGCCAATGTATCACCAAGTCATATCAGCTTGTCTTCCACAGCTAAGAGATGCCCACTCTCTCTTCTACTCTGTTATTGTCTCTTGACAATACTACTAAAATATCTTCCTACCTTGGACCCTGCTAACAACTTCGCCCCCTACAATTCATTTTCTGTAAAAATCCTCAGAGTCCTTGAAATGCTCCATAACTCCCATTTTATTTAAAATTAGGACCAAATTCCCATCATGCTTAGTTCTTAAATTTTTTCTTCCTTCTTCCCTCTATATTACTCTTCAATGGTGCCCAAATCCCCAGCAACAGTGGCCTCTCTGGTCTTCAAAATGACAAGCTACATTTCCCCACAGAGCAAAGATAGCTGATATTTATTCTCTATCTCTGGAAAGCTCCCTTCTGCAGATCATCACATGTAAGAAGCTCCTTCTTGTGATTCAGATCACACTTCAATGCCACCTTTTCAACAAGGTCTTCTGGGAACATTCTATCAAAAGCAATCCTCTTTTCCATGAGATCCATTCATTTCTGTTTATGGGTATATAATCAAGTTATCTCTTCAGAATCCAAGTTCCTTGGAGGAGTGGGTCTTGTGTGTGTCTTGTTCATATGCATTTAAGTATTCTAACAATATTGCCAAATGAACGAAGGAGTAGGTTAATGTGGGGAGGGGGGTTAAATTCTTCCCACTGCTTCCTTTTCACTAACATCTTTTATGATACTCCCAATTTTGCCATAACTAGACAAAATGACTAAGAATCAGGAAATAAAAACACAAGGATATGTATCTCTAAAGAACAGTAAGAAAAAGGCTTAAAGGGGGAATAAGAAGAGAAAAATCTTAATGTATGAAAGAAAAATAGACTTTAAAATATTGTAGCCCCTCATTCAAGGTTGGGCCTTCTAAATCAGAAATATAAAAGAAAGGAAATGTCTATGTTTTATAAAGTATTTCATTTTCTGAGTAGAAATATTTAAAATTCATTAGGAAATGTGTTACATAACTGGTGAGTCCTCCTAAGAGGACTTACATTAGATTAAGGGAAGATTTTAATCTGCTGAGTTTTCATGAAGCAAGACAACCATCACAAGACATACTGTCTTTTCACAAATGAAAGATAAATAAGCAATCAGCACATAAGGGATGAGAAAAAATAAACATGCTTAGTACCTCTCAATGGAAAACTGACCTTAACAGATTTCTGAAAAAATACTTTCTTAAGTTAAATTTTAATTGATTTTTTTCCTTAAAGAAACTTAAAAAGACAGTGGCATGAAGTTCATGTAAAACTTTAGAAAAGTTTAAAATTATATGCTTGTAATCATACAAAATGGTCTATCAGACTTTTAAGAGTATAATTAGTATAACTGTCCATAACATTATTGCTTTTTTTAAAACTGCAAAAATTATATTATTTGTGCTTAGACCACTACATAATATGAGGAAAACTTACTTCTTAATAAAAGCAAATTAACTAACCTATTAATAATCAGGTTCCTAATGCAGCATCACATTCTGAAATAAAAAACTACATTCCTATCATGTTACAGATTAATATTTGTTCTCAGAACTATTTCCAAAAAAAAAAAAAAAAATCTTACCAGACATAAACTGTGTAATAGAGGATAATACCATTTGGCTCCAGAGGTGGTTTCCATGACAACTTCACTGTGACACCAGACAACTGTTTTACAGAGAAATCTTGAGGGGGAGAATCAGGAGCTGAAAAGTGGGTACATAGAATAATGCATTTCTTTAAATATATATAAGAAAAGGTTAAGATGGAAATAGTTTTTTTAGAAAAACTTTCTGGTAAATGAATCATGTTCAGAGCTTTTTTTCACAGGAACAACAGTCTGTTTACTTTCAAATGAGATGATAAAAGAAGATTTTGCATGGTGGTGTCAGAACATCTGTTTCTGTGATTCAATGGAAAAAAATATTTCATGAGAAAATAGAAAAAGGGATATGTCACAGTGACTCACCTACTATTCAAGTACATCATGGTAAATGAGCATCCTCTAATACAAATGAAAACTTTATTGGGGTGAATAAATATAATGTACAGCCAAAAGCTCTCCAGACAATAAAGAATCTTGGGGGCAAAATCACACATCCAAGAAATGGAAAAGGAATAAGCATTACATTGGGAAGACAGTTAAAATGACTGACCTCATTAAAGAAAACTATATTTCTCAATTTCAGTTGTGCCATTAAACTGTAAAGTCATATCAAATGTATTCACTGAGTCTTCAAAATTGAATAGTTTTCAAAAGAAACACCAATGTAGCACAAAAACAAGAAAAAAATAGAATCTACTTGTAATTCTGCTATAACAATATAAGAATACAAAAAATTAGCTATTTGACATGGAATAAGTGGTATAAACAATTACTGCAACCTGGTAAGACAATTTTTTATTTCCACTTGGACAAAACATTTACAGAGCAATTCTCATCTGCTGTATTACTGTATAATAATGTCTTAAAATTGAAAATACAACTTTTTTGCATATAAAATAGTATAACTCACCAAAATTTGGTTCACTGTTACAGTTATGAATGAAAAGTTAACTCATAGGTAGCTAATACAGATTTTGAGAATATGTTCAGACCTCTTAACTGTGTTAATTAATATATAGTTCATGGATAGATCACTCTTTTCAATAAAAAAGCCATTCTCTACCCTGATCTTCATTAATCATATGACTTGGCCAAGAACTTAGATGGATGTTTACCTCACAAGTCTACACTTTTAACAGCCTGTGTAATTCAGATACATAACACAAGTTGGAGTCTTGACTTGACTGGTAAAAGCTCTGACTACACAAAATGTATGTCTAGTAGGGCCTGATTCCTTCATATAAAATCTCAAATTCTCACCATTAGGACTATTTGACTATATTATAGATAAAAGAGTGAGTACTATTTCCAGAAGGGCATTGTTAAAATTATTTTGTACATGTTATCCTAGATCATATCTAAGAAAGAGAGCTAACCTTCACCCTTACTCTTCCATCATTGACATACTGGGAAGGATTTATTTATAAAGTTAATTTGGACTTTGAGAGCAAGGAGAATCTATAAATGAAAGAAATGAAAATTCAGACAGACAGCTTTGATGGAGAGTAAGTACAGTAAATACAGACAATGACAAGGGACAACTAACTCGTAAGAGCACTGCACTTAGAAACTGGGGCAGCCCAGTGCAAAGTACCAGGACACTTTGGTGAAATACTTTGGTGAAGGTTAAAGAGGAAAGGAACTTGCAAAAGAAGCAAAGGGTCCCCAAGTCTTTGTTATTTTGAATAGAGTAACAGGAATGCAGAAAAAAAAAGCTTTCATCCTTTTGGAAGTGTTTAATGTACATTCCTCCCTTATGAGTGATGCTAGGGAGATGTTCAACATCGACAGGGTACAGGCTAGCTAGAAGATAGGAATCTTGAAAGAAAGAAAGAAGGAGAAAAAACTCCATAAACACTTAAGAGGCATCCAGATCCACCCCTCATGGCAACAGGAATTCCTTTTATCAAAAAAAAAAAAGCTAATTGTTTCAAAATATACAGTGTATAAAATATAAAATCCAAATCCTAATACCAACTATAGCCCTCAAAAGTCATTTTCTTAACATGATACAAATCTAATCACCTTGTGAGATGCCAACATAAAGTGGTCTCAGTGGAAAAGCTGATTTTATTCAGGTTAGGAAAGAGTATATGTAAATATTCAATGTGAAGACTATTAACATTCAGGGCCAATTATGTTGAGAAACTTGGAAAACATCCTGAATTCATTATAAAGCTAATTCTAATGCCATTTTAAAAATGCTGAAAGTTGTCATATACAGAATCTTCTCTAAAACTTATATAAATGCATGTTTTTATAAATGTGAAAGTGGAAAGACACAGTGGTAGCATACATCGTTTAATGTTCAAGTCATTCAAACCAAATATTTAGCTCTAAAAGTTCCCATGGAAAACATATTGTGTGAAGAGTAAAAATTTGCTCTCAAAATGTAGGCCCTCTGTTCACCTCACAGATAGTTTCTTTTGCTGAGAAGAAACTTTTTAATTTGAGTCCATCCCATTTATTGATTCTTGGTTTTAATTCTTGCACTATAGGAGTCTTATTAAGGAAGTTGGGGCCTAATCCCCATGAAGATTAGGGCCTACTTTTTCTTCTAAGAGATGGAGAGTCTCTGGCTTAATTCCTAGGTCCTTGATCCACTTTGACAGGGGTTTGATTTCATTGTGTTGCATATGGATTTCCAGTTTTACCAAGACCATTTGTTGAAGAGGTTATCTTTTCTCCAATGCAGTTGGAGAAAATAATGCTAAGTGAAGTTAGCCAATCCCCAAAAAACAAATGGTGAATGTTTTCTTTGATATAAGGTGACTGACTCATAGTGGGGTAGGAGGAAGGAGCATGAGACGAATAGATAAATTCTAGATAGGGCAGAGGGGTGGGAGGGGAAGGGAGGGGGCAGGGGGTTAGCAATGATGGTGGAATGTGATGGACATCATTATCCAAAGTACGTGAATGAAGACATGAATTGGTGTGAACATACTTTATATACAAACCAAGACATGAAAAATTATATTCTATATGTGTAATAAGAATTATGATGCATTCTTCTGTCATATATTTAAAAATTAAAAGCAATTTTTAAAAAGAAAAACATATTGGGCTTTTTCAGAATACTGATGACTTCAAAATTTTAAAAAGCATTTTATATCTGAATTTATTTAATGTAAATCTTACTTAACTAGCTTCACATATACCATAACAATGCAATCTTTATATAATCATGTTATGGGACATACTGATAGGCGAGGCTAGGGGGATATTTACATTAGGATTCATTTTATATATGTGTTTCTTGAAATGTTATGGAATCAAAGATTATCAGTATGCACTTTTATATTTACCATCTTCCTCAGTCAATATGCCTATGGGTGCACTCCGAACTCCTTCACCTTTGAGTGTACTAGCAGACATCTCAATTACATATTGGGTATATTTTTTCAGTCCTAAATAGAAATAAAATGAATAAGTTTGACACTTAGAAATATCCTTTAAGAATGTGAGAGAGTCAGACTATGAAATGGTTCTCAATTCCACAATTTCCCCCAAGTAAAAACTGAATAAAATGTAATTATATAGTAGTAGTAATTCCTATTATGAGAGAAAAAATACAGGATAATGTAGAAAAGGATTAATGTAGAAAATTCTTTCGTATAACATGAAATAAACTCCTGGCATATTGTACCAAAAAGAATTTTCATACCCTGTGTAGAAATAATTACACTAAAACCATTTATAATGTAAAATTCAGTTAATATTTTGAGGCCACACTGTCAATATAAATGTAAATATTCAACATTTGATTTGTTCTTTTACCTTTAATGTTCTGGGTCAAAGAGGTTGTATTTATACTTTTTTCCTCATTTCCATTACTCCTCTTGAGATAAATTGTATATTTTTGTATAATTCCATTGGGACTATGTGGGGGAAGGAATGATATCTCAATTTCTCCAGAAGAAATATTTTTGTAAGTAATATTTTCTGGTGCACTACTGGGCACTGGATAAAATAAAACACATAATGGCATAAAACAATTTCATCCTAAAAATCTTTTCTGCTAAAATTCTCTAGAATATTTATATACAAAATTAACCAGAGTGTGATTATCATATATATCCTGAATGGATCAAGGTGTATAAAAATTGGACCTTGCACAAGTGTACAGGAAAACAATTTCAAAGGAAAATGCATACAATGATTCTGCAGAATAACACAGGATTATACATTTATTAAGAGATTTAATACTGTAATAGCTGTTTTGAATTGCTGAACATGCAAATGTTAGAAAGAGAACAGGAAAGCACTTAAAAATTGATTTTGTTCTTCATTAGTAATACTTTTTTAAATTAGCTTAACAGGTTGGTTTCAGACCATAGCCAATTCTCTGACAAGACAAGGAACATCTCCTAGATCTGATGCTGCAGAGTATAACCTAGCAGCAAAATTGTCTCCTAAGAATAGAGGGCATCAGTAAATAAAATATTAGTTTTCTGCATTTAATAATGTTCCTATTATATCAAATATAATGTTCATAAAATGACTCTCTGTGCATATTCAATTATAAAAACTATATATGTGATTCTAATTCTGGCAAAATATGGGAAAAGATACTCTACACATATCTTATTAAAAATAAAAATAAAACTCTGTATAACATTAAAACAAATTTTCTTTAAGAAATTGCAGAGTTGACAAAAAAGAAATTAGTGGTGGCCAAAGAAGAAACAAAAAATTAAAACAGAAAACACATAAAGATAATGAAAACAGGAATCCAGAGAAGGAAGCTGTACTAACCAACCTTGCCTTATAAGTGCCCATTATCCTGACAGTACTGCATTTTCCTTATTAACATTTGTGTAGACTTCCACAGAAAGAATATAAAGCCTTGGGGATGTTGAAAGAGAAGGAATATCCCTGCATAAAGAGCTGGAACCCCCCCAAAATGCAACTTAAACAAGAACCAATATATTGGAGAACTCCAGGGGACACAATGAATATCTCTGTGGAAGCCACAGAGTTCAAGTGAGTGGGATCCCCAGGACCAGCAATGGGGTGCCCTCATTCTCAGTGGCTGGTAGAAATAAATCCTAATGAACAGAGGAAAGAACACACGTAGAAGAGAGAATAGAAACATTTTTCTTCTGACATTTCTGAGTGAAAAGGCAGAAAAGAAAGAAAAAATGTGCTGTTTTGGAATTACAAGCCTATCCCCAAGAGCATATATGGCTTAAATCCATGATACTTGTATATAACCTAAAGAAATCTCTATTTCAGAATTTAGATTAAAATGAAACTGTGCCCTTACTCCTCAGCAACTATATGAAATAAATATAAATCCTCCCTGGAAGAACTCACTTCAATTCAAACCACATAAATTACTCACAGATAAAGTGGAAATATGAGCTCACTAAAAAAAATCACCAAATACACAAACAAAAATCACTAATAACACCAACAGTAAAAGTCAGCAAAGAAGAAGGAAAAAATAACACACACACACACACACACACACACACACACATAGTAATTATCTAAAGGCTTCAGATATGAAAATTATTAAATGTTCAGTATATTTCAAAAAATTAAATGTTTTTAAAATATCAGCAAATTACTCTATAAATAACAATAAATAATATAGATAAGTATGGAATGGATCCAAATACATTTTCTAAAACAGAAGAACAAAATAACTGAAATTAAAAAGAGAAGATTAGATAGATGAAGAGAATTCATTTAAATGATAGTAGTTTCAAAGAAATTAGCAAGAGGGTAGCTCAAATAGGAAAGACAGTGGAATGAATCTGACATAATTTCTGTATGTACATATATGACTGTTACCAGAGTGAATCTCCACATCATCTACATCCACAAGACTGGGCTCCTAATTAGAATAAGACATACTTCATGTTTATATAAATATATTAAAATATACTCTGTTATGTATACCTAAAAAGAAGAGATAAAGCAAACCAATTCATACAATAGTACAAATATGTAACAGCAAATCCCATTACTATGTATAACAATAACACACCAATAAAAATGTGGAAAATAGATAATGTAAAAGAACTCAGAATGACACCAGCAAAGTTATTACCAGTTGATGTGAAGTCCTATATGAGAACAGAGTATGTTCACTGGGTATTTGTTTTATAATCATAGAAAAAGTTTAAATGTATACTTATATAAAGCATGCAAAGTGGGATTTATCAACTGTCACAGAAAATTATAATTTAAAACATTTACATTACTTTCAGTAAAATCATTCATCAGCAATTAAAAAAAGAGTGCGGCTCAAAGAAAAAATTGGGGAGAAGTGTAGAATGGTAGTTAAGAAATATAAATGATCTGCTGAAGGGGTCCAAAATAACAGAATGAAGTAAAGAAATATCTGAAAGGATAATGGCTGAGACTTTTCAAAAATTTTGAAAGATGTCAGAGTTCAGAAGAAGAAATCTCAATAAATCAATAGAAAGAAATTTGCTTTTAAAAAATCATGTTTTAACACATTGTGAAAATATAGAAGATCAAAGAAGAGAAGATCTTAAAGGCACCAGAAAGAAGACAAATCAATTAAGGAATGACAGACTGACAAGAACTGAAGAACTACTAGAATTCTATACACAGAAAAATAACCAAGGGTTAAACAAAAATGTATTCAAATAAGCAATAACTGAGAGAAAATACTATTAACACCTCCAATAAAAGAAATGATAAACAATATAGTTTAGGTAGGTACTTACTTATTTATAATGCATACTGGATACTGAATTCAGAGACACTCTACCACTGAGCTACGTCCCCAGCCCTATTCATTTATTTATCTATTTGTTTATTCACAGAGTCTTGCTAAATTGCCCAGGTTAACCTCAAACTTGAGACCCTCCTGCCTCAGTCTCTTCGGTAGAGTAGCTGGGATTACATCAGGCATCATCACATCTGGCTAGGTACATTTTTAAAAAAAAATATTTGCCCAAGATGAAAGACCACAATTACGAAGATTATGGCTTAAAAATTGCCTGTATAGAACAATAACAATAATGACTATTTAGGGGAGGGATTAAACAGTATAAAATAAGTACGTAAGCATTATTGCCATTTTAGAGTCCTGTTATTAAGATTCTTTTATTTAAAAAAAAAGAAATTTAGCCATTTATTATTAGTATTTTAAATACAATGGGTATAAAAATTATTACTAATAAATGTGGTTAGAGTAACAAAACTTAGAAACCCTGAAAGCATAGACAACATGTCCCCTCAATTATTATAGGGTATATAGTATCAGTTATAGGGTATGTGACATCGAAGGCAGATTTAATAGAAAAAACTGACATAAGAATGTCAAGACTTTGGGAAATTATTATTCAATGCATAGTTAGACATAACAACATATATCAATATAATCCTACTCCCCTTCTCAACATCCTAAATCTCCACTGTCATTTCAAGCCAATCCACCATACTGAGAAAAATCCTCAAAACCCACTGTGAATGCTTTCATTATCTTCTGGCTCTAATCAAAACTTTAAACCTATTGAGTATATAACACTTGAGCTCTCTCAGGTACCAGACTTGTTCTTATAATCCCTCTAACCATAAGGTCCAGGAGTTGGGTAGTCACATATATTACTCTTCTTTTCCATATGCAGATTTTTTTCTCCTTCTTTCTTACTAAAGAATCATAGATCCTTTGCAGACAAATTTCATCAAGCATTGTTGAGACACCTTCCTAACTGACCTCACTTAAATCACTTACGTCACTTTCCTAAAACAATCATCTGGCACCATTTCCCCCAAAGCTTAAAGATGTTGTCACCTTGGTGACTTATTTTCTCTCTACCAGTCTTAGAGATGTCAGTGTCCATGCAAATAATATGCCCAGTTCTCTGGACTCCATGTTCCTTGGTCTTCCTAATGCCAGTGCTCTTCCTCCACACCCTAACCACTGGCTTTCATGGCAATACCTGAAACCTGGCCATTACCATTGGCTCTTAGTTCTCTTCTCTTGGGTACCACCTCCTGGATCAAAGCTTACTGACTCTTTAATTCCCCATCCACAAATTCTTTGACCCTTTTTCACTGCCCATCACCTTCCTTAGGTAGATCCCAGAGTCACTCTAATCATTCCCTAGCAATTTCCACTGACTCCTTCCATTTGTATGTTATTTTCCTGGCAAAACTTCAATTCAGGTGAAATCAAACTCTATACTACTTCTACATCTCCATGGTAGCAGCTGAAAATGGATGCACCAAAAACCCCTCTATTCAGAAAAAACACACTTCAATTTATCCTCTCAAAGGGGTCTTTTGCATTGCCTGGTATACATTTTTTTAATTTTTTTTTTTAGTTAGTTCAGTCTGCTACTAGGTGTGTTTTCACCACACCCTCTCTCCCTGAGCCTCTCCCTTCCTTATTCTAACCTGATAAATTTGCTTCTCATTTCAATGAAAAATTTTACAAACTCAAAACTAAATTATCTTCCTACCACAAGTTTTCCTTTAGATGCCTATCCTCCTTTCTGCTTTCCAAGGCCACTACTGCATTATATTCCATTCCTCCTGGCTATTGAAAGACTTTACAATGTGAAATTATTCAGATGTATACGCGAACACACATGCATTGTAATGTGCATCATGGTAAAAAAAATCAATCTCCTTCAATTCCACTCACCCTTCAGTTATTGCTCCTCCCTTCTATCCTTCACTTGCTATCAAAACTCAAAAATCTGTCTTTACTCAAATTGCTACACTTTCTTACCTATTGTTCCTTCTTCATCATACTTTAGCGAGGATTGTTTTCCCATTCCTTTCCATGATATCTACGCACATGAAGTCACCGATGACCTCCATCCTGCCATACCACCAATCAAATGCATGCTCTCATTTTTCTTCACTTCTCAACTGCATTTTTTGAAATAAGAAATATATTCCTTCTAACTGAAAAATATGTATTTACTTGGATTCCAAGACATGATCTCCAGAATTTTCTTCTTCTTCAC